TATTTAATGCTAGTTCAACAGGAATGTTAGTAAAAAGGGATATTACATCCAACGAAGCCAAAACATAATTAGAATCAAACACAGAACCATTTAACTGCTCAACTAAATGGAAACTATCTTTAATATAGCTGGGAGCTTTTGGAATACTGTCACTGATTACCTTTCTACTGAGTATCTTTTTACTTCTACCGTTAATTTATTATTACAATTTATACTTGCTAACAGAAACATGTTCGTCCTTATGCACACATACGGTTCGGAGGAGCACATTTTTGTCAACTATAATCGTTTGTTTGATTTTCTCTCAATTTGGAGCGAGCTTTATAGTTAATTTGCGTCCGAATGCGAATTTTACTTGATCTCTTATGTTTTTTATCTACGTTATAACTCTATTGTTAATTGTCGTTGTTAATTTACTTTGTCACATTAATTTATTTGTCACATTGAAAATGATCCAACTAGGATCGAAACGTTCGTTTTGTTCACCTTCTGATTGTCAAATTATATTTTACGTTTTTAATTTATGACATAGTTTTATTTCAAAAAAATTTTTTTAACTACTCATACAGTTTGTCAATTTATGTTTTACGCTCGTAGCCCTTTTTCCTTCTTACTTATTATAAATTATATTTTACGATTAAAACGATAATTTAAAAATATCATGCTTATATATTTCGATTTAGCGCAAAGGAAGCAGCTTGCAATGTTGGATCTTCTCATAGCGACATATCGTGAAGGTGTCATGACTGATTTAGAGATTAGACAGGAAGTTGACACTATTATGTTTGGGGTATACATTTGTAATTTCTCGTAATTTTTAAATACAATATTTGATATACCAATGTTTATAATATGGTTATAGGGCCATGACACTACAGCGTCAAGTTTAAGCTTCATTTTGGCATTATTAGCTGAACACAAGGACATACAGGTATTTATCGTCAAATATAAGCTGTAACTTTTATACAAAAAAATTAGTTAATTCACTAATTCCAGGAATTATTTATTAAAACTGTATCAATATTAAACATTTCAAATACTTTTTAAGAGCGCGCGTGCGTGTGTGTGCGTGTAATGCGTGCGTGCGTGCACGCAATTCACTTTTCTATGTATCAATAAATGTTGATATACAAAACAAAAAACACATACACACGTATGCAATTCGTACATATATATAAATAAATTTAAATAAGAAACGTATTTTTAATGATTAATAATACAGGATCGTGTCAGAAACGAAGTCGATATTGTTATGCAAGAGAATGAAAATAAATTAACTATGAAATTTTTGCATCAACTATCATATTTAGAAAGATGCATAAAAGAAGCTTTGCGCTTGCATAGTG